TACGCTAGTATTGCACAGAAATTAAAGGGTAGCCAAACTAAACAGGAACATTTCTATTACGAATGCTGATCTATTATTAAAATAAAAAGATCGGCCGAATTAACTGAACTACGAGGACCAGATAGAGCCCAACGCAACTGTTACTGAACTGTACTAAAGGAAGGCCTTTGCTTGCTGGAGACACTAAAGAACAAAGGGATTATAACGATGGTAAAAAAGGCCTACAATGTCTTTCAAAAGGAAGTTATTTCTCGATAACTTAAGCCAATGAAGTTAAGGTCTCCAAGTTAACAAAGTAATCTGACCGACCGTTTCTAATTAAGTCACCTAACCTTATAGGGGTTAGTTGAAGTTCGAATTCGGGTTTCAGACCCGCCCTAGCCATAACCTCAAAAGCACTATGCGGTAGGAATAAATAGTGAGGCCGCCTAATGGTAATAGGAGTTGCTTGAATAGTCTTATTGGCCTATAGGCTTGCTTTTTACAACAATAGAAGTTACTCCTCTAGTTTTTTTGGTCTATAGGCTTCATTTTTTGACCAATAGGAGCTCATCTAGGTCTTTCTTTGTTTTTTTTCGCATGCTTTTCACCTATATTTTTAGTTCAGTAAATTAATTAACAGCGGCTTCATCTTATTGCCTACTGCGCACGAATCACGCATCAAACATGCATTAACTGCTCATTAATCAAGCGATAAACCTTAAACCACGAATTCCGTCACACATTTCGGCTGGGAAACTTTTGCCATTGAGCGGCAATCACGAGAAGAATGTACGAGCGGCCAAGGTTTAAAAAAATGCAAAACGCATAGAAAATCTGCAAGACTAAGAGTTGGCTTAAAAGATACAAAGAAGATTGCTGATCGAGCCAACTAGAAGAGTGGTTCAACCCGTAGAATGTCCTTCTGCAGGATACTGCCTCGGTGCAGCTCCCCCCCCTTAAAAATAAAACAGTATTTCGGTAGGAGTTAGTCCTTCTAAACCTACAACCTGCAATCTTTAGAATATTGGCATACATTTTAATCTACAAGAATGAAGAAAATCTGCCTCATTGTGCAAAATTTCGACTGAGAACACGGTAATGCTAAATGCACCAGGAATAATCGCACACGAGTAAGCCTTTGAGCCACAGTGATGGTCAGTCGGTTACCAGAAATCAGCATTTGGCATGGCAAATTGCTGTTTATAAACCACTGTTGTTCAAGAATCCCGGCAAATCCAGAAGTGAGTCGGCCTATTAATTCCTCATTTATAAAAATTAGAACAGGATGCGTCATAGTTTAAAGGAATATGATCTCACCCCCACCGGTCTAAACATAGCACTTTGAGACACTGTTCGGGCTTTATTAGGCTATAGCTCAACCCCCATGAGACTTTGAGTCTCAAACTCACAGACTCCGTTTTTATCGATCACAAGCCATAATCGTTTTGCCCGCAGTCTGCCTTTGACCTCCCTAATCGCAGCACATATTGACTGTTTCCATTAACCAATCCCGTTCTGTTCTCCAAATCTCACACAGGTTGTGCAAATTGCTGCCCGACTGCATCGACTGAAGCGTCGTCGGGTAGGCAATAACACGCCCTCTCATGGATCGGCACCTGGTGGCTCCTCCCTCTCCGGTACTACCTCCGACGACACATCCTCCTCCGTAGACAGTCATGGAATGCGCAAAATCTCCGGCAGCCGGTTGCGTGGCCCTCGCCTGGGTCGTTCCTCCTTTGGTTATCGATCGGGCGCCTCTGATGCTGAATACACCTCGAGTAGCGAGCAGTCCTGTGACACTGTCATCTACCTCGGTTCCAGACAGGAGCGCAGTCTCGGGATTGGTGCAACCTCGGACAGCGGCAGTGATCGATACCGGCTTGGACCGCGTGGTCTCGCAGATGGCAGCGCAGGCAGACGAGC